ATTTCCAACATCTCAACATTTTTTAAGGAAAGAAGGTATATGTATATACGGAAAGAATGATTTTACTCAAAAAGTATTTAAAAATTTATTACAGATCTAAAAATAATTTTGTATCAAAATAATTATCTAGGAATCTCAAGCATAATAAGCACAATACTGCAAGAACTTTTAACATTCCAGCAACCAGCTTCTGAGCGTCTTACATTTTGATAGTCCAAAATTATTTTCAGATATGCGTCTAGCTTTTTAGTTATATTTATCTGTATCTAAATTTTTAGTAACATTTAGCAAAACCTTTCCGTATATCATTAAAAGAACATTTTAGAAGGGATTTCATTTTTAATGAAAGGGATATAAATGAAGAAGTAACGCCATTTAAGGAATAATTGTCTGTTTAAAAAATGATTTAAAAATTAATTATTTTATACAACTTTTTCATTTCGATTCCCCGCGCTTTTTATCATCATTGCAAACAGTTTCGCAAAACAAATTACAAGTTGAATGGCCGTTATGGCGTACTGGCAACAATCCGCTTCCGTGGTCAACAACGGCGAGCAGCGTCTCCGCCGCAATATGTCGTACCCAGGTATTCTCTACCGCGCGGTCGTTGTCGCTGAATGGCAGCGCAGCAGCTTTCGACGAACTTTCGAAAACTGAAACTGTCGAAAATTGAAACAGCCGGACCCCGAAGATTGGACCCCGTAGCTTGCTTGGCGCGTCCGCGGAATTACGGAACGACGGTATCACGTGTAACCCGGAGACGCGACGCCTAATATTCGCCCGAGACCAACGCGGGGGATTGAAACTTTACCTACCCTTCCGACAGCATGCAACTGCCGGCATGCAAACGAGACTCCGAGGTATTTCGAATAGTTGAAAGTTACCGATACCGAAGGCCGAGAAATCGAGAGGAAGTCGTGAAAAGGGGTCATCGTTACTCGTCTCGTTTTTGATTTCACGCAAAAATAATCTCGTGCTAATCAGATAATCACGTTAAAATCTATCATTAGATATCGTCTGCTTGAATTAAGTTCATGAGATATTTAAAAAATGGTCTTTATAAAAATAAAGGTTAAAAATAAATGATATCGTGGCAAACGGATATTTCGCGTCAACGTGCGGCTCGCAGGTTGCCTTAAAATTCTGACATCCGATATCTCGAGGTGCGAAAAATTCGCGAATCTCGTGCAGCGTAACGAAACCGTAAAACGATGAAACAACTGAAATATTATCCCTGCTTTTATCCCGCGACGACAATCTCATTGGTCTTTGTCGAATCCGATACGAAGCTAATTTCCATGCCGGAGTGAGCGAAGTTATAAAGAGACGGGCGCGAACGAGGGAAATTGGGTGAAACAAGGAAAATTACTATAATCAACTCTACGATGAAGTAACAATTATCTACACATCGCGATGTCTTTAAGACCCGCATTCGCAGTTGTTACTTGAATCTCGTTTCAGAAGCGTCTCGTGTCAGACGAAATGCTCGAGTCGGAGTTGTATATCTTGAAACGGTTCAATAGTCGTAATTTATAATAGAAATAAAAAAAAACTGCGTTTTCAACTGAGAAGCGAAGAATAATTTTTTACGTGAAATCTGATTCTATGACCGATATTCATAATTAGTTCTTACTTTTACAAACAAGAAGGACGGTTTTACTAGCAAAATTAAGCAAAATTAAGAGAGGTACAGATCTGAAAATAATTTTGTTAAATTATTAAAATAATTATATAGGATGCTAAAACTTTGATTGCTAGAATATTTATTGATCCTAGAAGATTGATTGATGCTTGACATTCCTATATAATTATTTTGATAGCCCGACGAAATTATTTTCAAATCTATGTCTAAATAAATTTTTAGATGCTTCAGCAAAATTGTTTCTTTCATCTAAAATCGTCTTAAGATATCATAAGCCAATCACAGAGCCATATATTGACATCTTAAGATATTATTGAAAACAATCTTGAAATAAGAACGGACTATAAAAATACCAGCCGATTTCATTCCAAAAAATTGTATTATACATACATTAATAAGTTACTTATCAAAACTATAATCAACTCTTATTGATACTAAAATAAATTAAAATCAGTACAATTAATCGATACTAAAATATCAATATTATAAAGATTAATGAAATGAATAATATTAAGTAAAAAATAAATCATATTTGATCAAGACGGATCTTTGTGTCTAATAATATTTTCATGAATTTTTACACTTTCCAGTTTATTAATAAAATGATTATTTTGACGAACGATGCAACAGACAGCTTTATTTCGTTCGTTCAAGAAAGGAAGAAGAAGCCCCGCGCGCTCAGCCGTGATCGCAAGAAGAATTTTTCCGAACGCTGTAATATCTCCGATTTTCTCCAAGTCGCGCACATCCGCGGGAGCCGCTATTGAATTTATTATTATGCATTTATGTAGATTGAAATTAATACTAGAGGCCCGCGTGAGCGAGTGAACGAATCCGCGCGACTGGCGACGGAGGCGCCGCGATTCTAAACGATGATTCCGCGGAAATCTCGCGATTGAATTCGAAGTCATGATTAGTTTCTCAGCTTACTTTTCTCCGCACCCTCCGTTCTCGTAGTCTGGCGAAAGTTTCAAACTGGAATGCTCCCTTATCGTTTCTCCGATTGATTTACATTTGTTTAATAAAGTAACGCGGTCACTTTTCGTTCGCTCGCTCGCAGAAGTCGTTCCCCTTTGCACTTATTGTATTAATTTGAAAGAGTCACTGTTGAATTAAATTTCGGATCCCAGGCGGGCGTTCTTTTATCAAGCGGATAAAAGCGGCGCAATTCAACATAATCGCTGCTTTTTGAATCAATCAAAAATTAGCCTCAAATTGTAAAAAAACCAAATGGCAATAACTACCGGGTTAGAACGTGTTCGGATCCCCACCAGGGTGTCATTCTTGTTTAATTTAACGATAGATAACAACACAGAGAAAAAGATTTTCTCCGCCGCAGCTAAATTTGTTATTTGATATTTGCTGCAACTATAAATTTATTAACTCCAACGAAATGGTTTGCTATTGCTGCTATAATACAGATGTCGCAGCTAAGACATTAGCTGTTATATTAATTATATTTTAGCTGTCCATGTTTTACACCTGCCATTTAGTTACCACATGCAGTTTTTAGTTACGACAGCTTTCTTTTTTTCCATCAAGGATGGAGCGATACCATTCGGGTGAGACTCTGAACATAGCCTAATGCTTAATTAAGAATTGCGAATGAAGGATTAGAATTCGATCAATCAGGTAGGTTTAATTTTAATCCGTTTCGTTCTAAATTGACCGAATTCTATATATAATCCTCAATTCACAATCCTCAGTCTCCAAGAATCCTTAGAAGATTGTTTTGTTCTCAGAGATCAGTGATCTCTAAGTTGCACCGGAAGAGTTACTTTTCTTAAACATTGTGATCGTGAATCGGACACCACAGCCTTATTGAACTCGAGTCGCTATAACTCAACGATGCGAAACTCGCTGCCGATATACTCGTGAACGCTTAGGACCGACAGCATATACATATATATAATGCCGTTATATAACATATCCCATCGCAGTCGTATAAATCTCGATTTTTGTAGGACTGCGAATTCTTCGTGCATTTCCGCGGGCGTGCAACATGTGCGCGTGGCAGACGATATTCCAGCGTCGAAAATAGATATATCGAAACGTCGCGGCGCCAATCGAACGTTCTCCACATTCCGCATTTCCGAGCGTGTAAACAACATATAGGAAACACGCAAAACAGAGCGAAATAAATGCGAGTCACGATTGCACACGAAGGTAAATCATACACTTCGATCAAATTGTACCTCGCTCGATGCGGTATTGTTCTTTCCACGCCGTGTACCTTCGCGTAATAATATAGTAATAATAATACAACAGAGAGCAACGTTGTATTTTAATAGGAAACGAAACGCTCTTTCTTCAGATTTATCAGTCGACAAGATAAACGTCAAAAATTGGCGAATCGTTTCGCACAAATGTCGCTCGTGTAAGAATATCGGAACGAAGATATATTGAAAGATCGATTTTATTGAGATTTTCTATGAGATATCGGCAAACGTTTATCTGGCGAAAGCTGATGTACCGAATGATAAGCTCGTGGAGGAACATTGAGAAAAATACAAGAATATGACATATATTATATATATATATTCTTTTCGTATAATTTGTCCTTTTTCCCCATTTTTTTTTCTTTATTCTCAATCGAGATATTTTGTGAAAATGCGTAGAATGTGAAGCACACAGTTATATAATTTATATTTTCGTATTTTTATTATATAATTTATATATTTTTTTATTATTAAGTATATGTGTATATAAAATTATGTATAATATATTTTGTGGTCTTACATTTTTATGTTTGATCTTGGTATGATTTGATTTTGGTGTGTGTAAGAATATTTATGCATTAACTCTTTATTTTGATGAGTTACCAGGTGATCGAATCAGTCGACCGCCAAACAGTGAACTTAAAGTGAATTTTAAAAAGTGTCCAAAATTGAATATTTTGCCCGAGAATATCTCCTTCCCATATCCAAATCAAAATTACGAAAATCACAACGCATATAAACACGCACAAATGAATTAGAAATGTTATATATATATATGTATATATATATATATAATATATATATATATATGTATACCATTCTATTATATGTGTATACGTATAATAGAACAGTAGAATTCAATAGAATAGTAAAAAATAGAACAGAATAGTACAATAGAATACATATAATAATATTATTTACCCCTAACATTTTCCAATTGAAAATTTTTTTCTCTCCAAATTGTCTATGTAGACATAAAGATTATCTTTCACAACTTTTCATATACTTTCATATTTTATAGCACACAATTTCAAATATTTGAAAATAGCGGAAAACAAAGTTTCAATAGAAATAAACTCTCCGACTATTTCATACAATATTGCACGAAGATATTCACTTTAAGAGTCCTCTTTACGTCTTTATGCGTTCTTATTGGCGCCATAAAACTGTCTGAAGCTTTCGTAAATATCATTATTCAATTTCACGCGTTTTCGCGACTTCTTCAGGCCTGTTCTGAATCCACTTAATCCCCGCATTCGATATGCCGGGGCTACGCTGGCGATAGTTAACGGCGACTTCGTGGGAAACGTCACGTATCGCCAGAATTCGTTTATCGGCGGCGATATCCTAATAACGGTGCGATCTCTCTTGCGATCGCCGATCTCGTTATCCTCGATAGATTTCGCCTTATTTTTCACGATCTCGAATATTTTATTTCTCGGTTGCCGTCGCGTGACATTCTTCAAAGATTGTTTCAAGCAGTTACCGAGTATTCTCATTGCCGCTTTTTTCGCGTCGTCCCGATGATACGTGATCGTCGTGATGTCAAGATCGCTCGACGACGTAACGTTTTGACGTGTCGCATCGGATGGAACGAATGTGATTGTTCCGTTGGGACTTGACAAGTTCTTCATCGTCGCGATTTCGATTACCGTCGTCACGTTCGACTTCATCCTCGAGTCTTTTTCGGTGGGCAATCGCGTTGCATCCAAAAACGTGCACGGACAATGATCGATCACATTGTTACTCGAAATTTCGGCTGTCGAAGAATTATTATTCGGGCAATGCGATTGGCTCGTCTTATCCTCAGCCACGGTCGTCATCGTGTCCTCTATCATAGATTTCCTGAAGTGAAATCATTAAGCCAATTAGTGTCGTCGAGCTCTATCATATTTTGGTGGTTTTAACAAATGAAAAAGTAAAAGAAAGTCCTATTTATTAAAAATAAATATATAAACGCACATTCATGAGTTATTGCAACTTTTTAATTGAGGTACCAAGAAGTTGTTAGCAGCGGAACTTTTGCGTTAAGGATTAAAGGAAAAAAATTGTCGGACAAATTGGATACGATTGAAACCCCCTGCATATATACGCTGTAAAACTTGCGTGGATTTAGACCAGCCCCGTAATGGTAGCAATTCGATAAATTCATCATCCAGGACTTCTCTCTTCTCGTTCCTCTTAGCTTAAATCCCAACTTAAATAGACGCGAAACGTGTACTGGACTAAAGTTCGAGCGAGTTTGATTACAAGGGAACGTGTCTCCAACTGCACTTACCTTCAGCAAATAAGCTACTGCTGAATTGTTAAAGCTCATTTTCAAAGAATCATGCGATTCGCGCACTTAGAGTTTTCGCGAGGAACTTCCGTCACGTTCTGCAAATCAAATATTTAGCGAACGTATGCGCTATTTTAATGCATCGCCGAAACACGTAATCGCTCGTGATAAGAGAAGAGAATAGATAATTGTTCGGAGTAATTGACTATTCAATTATATCGAATCTAGTAATTAACAAAATGAAAACGGCGATGTTTTCCAAGGAGTCGAAACGTATCTTCCTCGCTCGAAGATTTAAGTGAGAAATACAATAAAAAAAAACGTAAGACAGTAAAATGTAAGCGAATTGACCAATCATGACAGAGAAACTTAGGGCAATAATTATGTTCTCTACTGTGATTGATCGATTCACTTAGGTATTATTTCTTTATGATTTTTTTTATGTGTTTCTGGCTTTAGAAAAGAAAAGAAATTTCTTTCGGCTTACTTTGCGATCTTCGCCTCAGAATCCGTCACGTCAATACGTTCCTCCATTTGATAATAAGCAATTATCAATATTCGCATCAACCGAACGAGTTTAAGCTTGATGATTGACCCATTAGGTTGAGCTTCTCGAAGCAACAACAGTCTGGCCCAGTCCGACTTCAGCGTACCGAAGGGCAGAGCGGAAATCGGACACTTAAATCCGGCGGTCATCATTTTTACGGTAGGCACGTCCGTGAGATTTAATTTGGACAAATGATTCTCGAGCTCGTTGACATCAAACTTGGCCAGGTCCAAACAGCGATCTGGAATGCCACTCGTGCATTCCACTGCAAAAGAAGAAAAAATACATCCAGGAACTTGTTTCCCCTCTCAATCGTGAAGTGAATTTTTTTTCTTTTACAGAAATATTAAAAATTGTAATATTATAAACGCGTAATTTCTTCTTTTTTTATAAAAATGGAAATAATCGCGTTACGTGGCTCAGTAAATTTTCTCCACGAGGAATCGTGTTAATCCTTTGCGGTCCAAATGATTTCTCAAACGTCTCAATTTAATTTAAAGACAATTTTAGATAATTCATATTTAAGTTCAAAATAGAGTATTTATAGTACTTAATTTAAAATCGTCTTAAGTACAATCTTAAAATGTCATATTAATATCTTCAAAATTACTTAAGGCGATCATGAAATAAGAACGAACTATGAATATCGGCCTATTTATATTATGTTATAATTTTATATGCTCAATATAAAGAATGTCTGAAAGATCGAAGTACATAAAAAATACTTATAAATAGAAAATCGTCAATGCAAATTATGGATAGTTCAAAGCGGGCTTAATCAGCAAGTTTAATAAAGAATTATCATTTTCAGAAATTTTTCATAGAGATTTAAAAAATATAGTTTAATTGTTATTATAATTGAGTGTCTGAAGAACAATGCAAAGAAAAGACCAATGCAAGATCTAACTTGATATGAGACTATAAAAAAATCAATTTTCATTAATTTCGTTATTAAATTGTACATATTAATTTCTAAGAAGAAATTTGTCCCACAGTTCTTATTCTAATGATACACATTCGTAATGCAAATCTCGAAACAATGTCTTATCATCTGACATGCTTCACGATGGCGATAATCCAATGTCACTAAAAATTGACGAACAGCCGGAGATCCCTTCAGAAAACATGAAATAATACAGCGTGCACTTACTGTTGAGAATTAACACTGTGCAAAAAAGAATTGAAACATACGATAACATTTCTCGCGACATTCCGCTTCTCGAACTGTTCGCGCGGATGAGTGACGCTATGCGAGCACTTCGTTTCGTTAGGATCGGCACATTTTCAAATGCAAACACTGGCGGTACGGTAACACGTGAAATACAAGGCGATTCTCGCTTCTTGTAAAGCGAGAGCTGCATCCGATCCCTCCGCGTCGCGATAAACGTAGAAGAGTATTTTCAATCGTTATATGGCAGGTCAGCTTATTTGTGAACTTCCTTTACCGGAAATGAAATCGTTGAATCATCACTGTAGCGGTTACAATATTAGCGCATTAAATGTGCATTCCCAGCTGAAAACTATAATGAGAATTTCTTTAAAATTTCCAATATTAAATAACACAGGGCTACGGTCAGAGTTAAAAAAATAGTGCTGAAACAAAATCCAGTGTTAAATAAAGCGTAACATTTTATAACTTTTTTACAGACAGAGAGAGAGAGAGAGTTTCAATGATAAGAATAAATTTATGAAAATTAAATAAGAATAAATTGAAAATTGTCGATACCCGCTGACAGATATCTGAAAAAATTCGGCGATTTCTGTTGCATAATAAAATAAAAAATCGTATTTTCAAGTGAATTGCTATGAAAAAAGAAAAAAATTATGTGTTCCATATATGAACGATTAAAGGAGTAATGAATGAAGACACTATTACCGAGGTAATTCCATACAGCGTGTCGTTTGTTGATTTATTTTCTGCATCTCGTTGTAGATATATCGTCATCTTAACGTACACTCGTTCTCTTTCTCACTTTTCCTCTCATAAAAACTATTCTAATTATTCGCGTTATGAAACTCCGCACTGTTTGCAATTGCGTTGCATCGACAATATTGATGCACTTATCTCTTCGGCCTCATTTTTTTACAGATACATACCGAATTATATAGCGCTCTTTCTTTTTCTCTCTTTCGCACACATACAACATACATTCATATAAAAATTATGTATAGAATCTATCGCGTCATAATTACAAAGTAACTATACGTACATATTTATATAATCATCGTAGAAGCAATATCTCCTCTCTCTTCTTACAGACGCGAATCACATCGACGGACTTGAGACAGAAAAAGTGATGACTCGTAAGACAAAAAACTAAAAAAGCTCAACAATTTCGCATGATTTTTATATTACAAATTAAGGGAAAGCCTGAAGAGAAATCGTTCAAATCCGCACTTATAAACAATCCCGTTCTGCAAATATAAAAAAAATCTCAAAATCGCAGCCCGCCTGCCGTACATCTTGCACGTATACGTTTATACATGAACTGTATATAATATACACTCTCAATATAGACGCGTTCGCGTATCGCAAAGTCGAAAGGGCAAGATCTCTGCCGTCGAAGGAACTTACTTAGCCACGTATTGTTAGCGCTATACAATCGTCATATCCTTATCCGGACGTCGGGAAAAAAGAGAGTCACGTCGCATCACATTTTTTATCTCGCGAAAGAATCTTCAATATTATCTTGAGTCGTTCTTCCACAATAAATTACACGTAATCTTAACCATCCTCTAATACGAGATCTCAATGAAATAACACATCACCGTCTGACAAATCACGCGCGTTCAAAACGGAAAGTTTCGAAGCTGTGCGGCGACGAAACGCAAGTTTTGTAAAATTCGACGTGCTTCTCCATCACAAAAAAATAAAAGCCTAATCCCTAATTATTCCGCACCATAATGTCTCTTACAATAATTATATTTTTAATAATAATTAATCCATAATAGTTCCATCCTCGTCCACGCCGCGTTTGCTTCCCCTTCGTTTCCTCAACGATTATCTGCCATTCTCGTAATCTCGCACATAACTTCCACATAACGCATCGCAGTTTTATTTTAACGCCCTATTCTTTCCCCTCGTTTAAATCTATCGTTTCATTTACTATTTCTATAATGTTTGACAGAGATAAATTCGCTTAACTATTTGAATGTGCCTATCGTTTGTATCGTGTTTGCTTGCTTGCAACCCTGAGACTACGATTCTACCGCCATGGCGAATCGGTGATTACACATGTATTATATGTACAAAGAAAAAATGCTTGAAAGAGTATGAAACTTTCGGCAGCGTACATAACAATACCTGACGTTTTTTTTTGTTCTCTCTCCATTCTCTTTCTATCTTTTTTTCGATGAGGCGACGCACGCGAAAATATTTTCCCTTGTACGCCCTTAAAATCTTTCTGTGTCCATCGTGCCGGCACGATTGGAGGGCCTTAAGGGGGTAACTTTGCGACATGAAATAGCAGGAGTTGCACGATTGTTAGTAATTGATCGTAAACTTGCGGAGGAAAAGGTGGTTCAGAATTTAGCGTAAAGAACGGAAGGAAGAAATCGGGACGAAATCGGCGAAAATTATTCTTATTCATCTCTCAAGTGGAAGAAATTGGGACAATACGGAAACTTCTCGAGGGATGTGGATCAACGGATATTTTTAAAACCATTGCGGTTCCTTCAACACGCACATATAACAAAGGAGTGAAAAAAGAAATAAAGAATATTTATTCTACAGATTGACTCCAGCAGTGGAATATGCAATGTAATGCGCCCAGTAATGCGAATATCACAGTTAAACGGGAAAGCTCGTTAGCCTCAACGAAAGACAAAGGAAAACATCGGTATCGTGTTACACGGAGATGTCATTGGGGAAAAAGTTTCCTTTTTTTTTTTAGTCTTAACGAGCTTTAGTCAAACGACAAATACGTTGATGTACATAACACTGCGAAACACAAACTCTCCGCAAAATAAAAACTTCATTTCTGCAATTTTTTTACAAAAACTTTCGATCTAAGCGTGTAGCTCATAAAGCATAGAATGTTCCAATATCACTGGAATATTCTGTGGTTCATGTATCATATTTTCAAACGAGAAAAAGAAAACAAACATCGCTCAGACAACTATGTACGAGTAACAAACAAAAAAAAATATTCAATGTTTTCAGGACTGTCCAAAAAAACATTAGTATTAAATGTTCAGCCGGGAAAAAATGTTCTATATAAGGACATATTTTATAAAATTGTATAAAAAATTTATATATTTTATATAATTGTATATAAAATATGTCAATTTTTTATATAAATTTATATAATTATATATGAATTATATATGAAATTTTTTTCTGTATTTTAATACGATTTTTTGCTGAGACTAAAGTTGCCTTTTGTAAAATATTTTTGGATTTCATTAATTTCTATACAATACAAAACATTTCAACAATGTCACTGCAAGAAGGTTGGAATTGCAGAAATATTTCATAGCAACATTGCAGTATATATTTATAATAATAATGCAACACTGCTACGAAAATGTAATAAAATTCTAAATATCATCATCTAAATATATCATCATCAACTTTAAAAGTGTTTTTCCACGTCTTTATATTTCGCAAATAATAACTTTTCAACTTTTATCATTTTCAAAAAAACAATATAATTTACTAGAAAATGAAATCGGGCGAATGTTTGAATAGAAAAAAAATTCGATATGATTGCAACAGTTTCTATTTCTTTTCTTTTTTGTTAGTTAATCAAGAAAATAGTAATAGATTACTAGAGAAACGTGAAGAAGAATAACGAGTGCTAGATTGAACCGCAAATTGTTTTCCACAGATTTAAATGCAGAAAGCGTAAGGAAAAAGACGCTCATAGCCTACGAGCAGAAAATAAGGACAATTAAGGGACAACGAAAAGATATTATTTTGTTATTAAGGAAAGTGAATTGTCCTAACTTTATTGCACTCTAGACCCATGACGATAATCCCACAATGTAAGGTACGAGGTCGACATGCGGTTTTTGCCACTTCGGTCTTGAGAAAATAATTTTCTAAGATACGAATAAATAAAAAATAAGAGATGAGAAAAAATTAAGCTTAAATCTATTGTTTGTCTTTTTAAGTGGCTTACTATTAACTCTAGCTCTTAATTCTAAGAAACTAGATAATCTTCTTCTATACAACTGAAATGATTATCAGCGAAATTGATAAAAACCGCTGTAGACTCGCAACTGATAATCGTCAAACGAAGCTCTATGAAACTTACATCTTTTCTATATATCTCTCGTTTTCTTAAAAAATTTTTTATCATGAAAGGCATGTATAATGTTATAATCGCGCATAAATGTGTCGATAATATTATGCTCGCTGATTTTCGTAACAATGATAATAATTAGTGACAACTAGATAATAAAGATCCCTGAATATAATAATGGTAATAATAATATTAATTGTATATCAATGTAATAATAGTGACCGTAATGTGTTATAAAAATAATATTAATAATTATATATTAGCAATAATATATTTTTCTGCTTCTTCTCTTATGTGGCACGGGCATAACACGATCGTTTTAATAACCGGATAAATACTCTTACCGCCAACAAAAGCATGATAATATGGCAATTATCTAGCCGATAATTCTTAAAATATATTTCAAATACAAAATCCCAATTTTCTGCATAGAAACAAGCGTGTCTCCAATTGAGAAACAATTTTGACATTCTAATCTAAACCCGCTATCTTTCTTCCGTTCGCCTTCTCGCACCTATTTTGACTTGATTTTAACTTGATTTCTCATTTATATTACAAAGATGTATTCTAAGATAATATACAAAGACATATCTTTCTCTACATCGCTATAACTATGGATGTTCAATACAGCTATCACAAATAGATTGATTAACATGATTCGATTTCTTTTCACATTTAAGCTATTATAATTACAAGGGTTAATGCAAAAGAGGCAATATGTTTACATATATATTTATGTAACGCACGGGAGATGATCTCAATCGCTCCTGTTAAGATACGCAGTGAATAAAACAAAAAAAATAAAAATAAACAATAATTAAGAGAATAGAGAAAATGCCATTCAACAACAGTAATTTTGATTGCTGATTCTTATCAATGATATCATGGCTACGATGTTAAACACCCACAGTTATTACATCTTATTTTATAGATACTATATTCAGTGTTACGATCATAATGATCGAACGGAAACACTTTATTTGGTAATAAAGCCATCGATTGGCTTCCACATACACCTATCCTAAAATGAGTACTCTGAAAGTCTTCTCACATCTTGTACTGTTATGTTCCAACATAAAAATTACATTTTTCCTCCTTTTTTTCTTTCTTTCCTTTTTTATCTTTCTTTCATACTCTCTTTCTGT